CACAAATTTATACTTTGGTAACTCCTTTAGGATTTTTTTCACCAATTTGAATGAAGAATTGGTTATGAATTATTGTTCACAAAGTTATATTTCTGGGTACAGTCCCTACAAGTGATAATTACTCGTATTTTTACAGGGGAAGGAACTCCTACAAAGGGATTACAAGTTAAGAAGAAAGGGAGGAAACCAGAGGCTACAACACCATTTAAGCTCCGGAAAAAGCCGAATGTAAGTGTATGTTCAGTGATTCATTTTGCCCAGCGTATTGCGTTATTTACGCATTACATTCATTAAATACCCGTTGGTTTTTGTCCAGTGCTTTCCGAATACGCATAAGTGATGACCCGGATAAAATAGAATCGAAGTTTCCAGTTTCTATTTTTATCGTTCATTCTATTTTTAAATACTGCCATAAGTTTTAACATACTTCATTTTTCATTTTGTCAACTATCAATCATTTAAACAAGAGACTGATAAGTATAAGATAAGGTAAAATAAGGCCTACATTTAACAGGTGTTTAATTGTTTAATGTGTCGTAATCAACTCACACTCACACATACAAAAGGTCATAAACCGACCCCGATTTTTAACAAAGAAAATAATCAAAGCAATTAACAGGACAGTAAATAATCAGTGCTCTAACTGTAAAAACATTGCTTTGGAGTCGGTAAACAATTACTTGCCTGGAGGGGTTCACAGCATTGGTTTCCTTTCATTGGGACTTGTAGAGGGGTGTTTATTTGCAGTGAATTTTCACTGAGTTATTTAAAACCTAAAATATTTTTTTATTTTATTGTATTTCATTAAAAAAAAAAAGATTACTTTGTCGGGCAGATAAGGTACATGTGTACTACGATTATGGAAGCATGTGGCAAAGGAATGTGTGAGCGTCTAAAAATAACATTGGTAATGACGGTCTACAAGGAGACGATAAACATGCAGCTCAAATTGATTTTAACTTGCTTTTTCATGTCATTTTAGTATCTAAAGGTTGTGAAAGTGACATTTTTAACAAGTATACTTCCCAACAATAACTTCCAAAGTTTGAAATATGGCGATAAACAAAAGAAATTGCATATGTCTCTAGGTAGTACTACGGTATGTACGTATGATAGCCATGTTTCACCTGAAAGAAAAACATATCAAAATTTTAAAATACGCACCCCTTTTCTCACATAAATTTATTTTAGGAAAAAAGTGCTTATTATATTCCGCCAAATACGGTAATTTAAAAAAAAAATAAAACTTTGCTTGATATCACATTCTTAGTTGTTGTTAAAATTCTGACCCATTGATTTTGAGTTCTGACTGCTACAGAGGGGTACACTGTACCCATTCAATCAATTTTCAAAATGAATCACTGTATGTTATACAATAATACTTGAAGATGGAGTGCAGTAAAACTTGGTTACAGCGAAGTCCTGGGGACCTATGAATCTAATTCGCTGTATCAGTAATTCGTTATATCCATATAACGAATTTGTATAAGTACGGGTATATGTAGCGAATTCGCAATAAGCACATTTTCCTATAAGTATTGCTACAGAATATCATTGGGAATCAATTATTACAAAACATACCTTGGCTAACTAAGGTTTTTATTATGAATCAAATTTCATTGGCAAATTCTTACTAAATATAAAGTCAGTTCAATATATCTAAGTTGGAGATTTTTGAAAATTCGTTATAAAAGATGTAAATTTCATTATTTTTAGCCTCAACAGGACTCAGAATCAGTTCGCTGTATCCGTAAATTCGCTATATCCAAGTTCGTTATAACTGTAAAATTTTACAAAGAATTGTTAATAATTTTGCCGGGGACCCAGAAAAACTTTGCTATATCTGTGTCGTTGAAAACGAGTTTTACTGTATTCCTATATATAAAATCCTCTAATCAGCTCTCTGATCAGAATAATCAATACGTGTATATGATACGTTCAATTTTAATCAAACTCAAGACCAGCTATCCAGAAATGAAAGGATTAAGTTTTATTAGCTCTTCTGAGCCAAAAGCTCAAAGAGCTAATGCTATGGCCATTTGTGCGGTGTGCGTAAACTTTTTAGAATATGGGCCATAACTCAAGAACCCCTTGGCCAATCAGTACCAAATTTGTCACAGGGTATCCTTGGCCCAAGGGCTACCATTTATACTAAAATAAGGGTTGGGACCCTTAAACAAGGGGAGATAATCAGGAAAACAAAACCAAAAGTACTGGTTGCTAAAAAACCTTCTTCTCCAGAACCACCAAGCAGATTTTCACCAAACTTACATACAAGAATCAGAATATGTCAAAGATTAAAATTTGCATGGGGAATTACCCTGGGGCAAAGGGCGTGGTCTCAAGGTCACTTCAAAGTTGACCTAAATTTACAATTAATATAAACGTGAATATTTTGCTTATTATAATGACTAAGACCATCAAATCTTGTAAGTTGATGCATCTTACAACTTTCAAATCATGTTGATTCAAAAGTAGGTCATGGTGACCTACTTTTTAAATTTTGCGGGAATTTGTTTCCAAATTGATTTGAAGGCATATTTTGGACACTTTAAGGCCTCTGATCATCAAACTTTGTCAGTTGATGCATCTTGGGTCCTCAAACAATGTCAACTTAAAAGTAGGTCACTGTGACCTACTTTTCGAACTTTATGACTTATCTTTTTAAAAACATTAAATCCCATTATTTCAGACACTGTGAGGTTTAGAATCATCAAATCTTGTACTTTGATGCATCTTGGGACCTTAAAACATATTCATGAAAAAGTACGTCACTGTGACCTACTTTTTGACTTTTGCCGACATTTGTTTTCAAATTGTTTCAACGCATATTTTGATTACCTTCAGACTACGATCATCAAACTTGGTCAGTAGATGCATCTTGGGTCTTTGGAAAATTCGACCAAAATGTAGGTCATGATGACCTACTTTCGACATTATATGGCTATATTAAAGTATCTTAGGTATTTATTGGCTTAGAATCATCAAACTTTGTGAGTCGATGCATATTTGGTTTTCGGAGAGTGACAACCAAGAAGTAGGTCACAGTGACCTACTTTTGACATTTTATGGCTTTATTTAAGTATCTCTGGTACTAATTGGCTTAGAATCATCAAACTTTGTGAGTTGATGCATCTTGGGTTTTCGGAGAGTGACGACCAAAAAGTAGGTCACAGTGACCTACTTTTGACATTTTATGGCTATTTTTAAGTATCTCAGGCACTTATTGGCTAAGAGTCATCCAACTTTGTCAGTTGAGGCATCTTGGGTTTTCGGAGAATGTCGACCAAAAAGTAGGTCACAGTGACCTACTTTTGAATATCTCAGGTACGTATTAGCTTAGAATCATCAAACTTTGTCAGTTTAGACATCTTGGGTTTTCGGAGAATGTGGACCATAAAGTAGGTCACTGTGACCTACTTTTGACATTTTATGGCTATATTTAATTATATCTGGTACTTACTGGCTCGGAATTATCAAGCTTTGTCAGTTGAGGCATCTTACAGTTTCATTGAATGTCCAACAAGAAGTAGGTCACGGTGACCTACTTTTGAATATCTCAGGTACTTATCGGCTTAGAATCATCAAATTTTGTCAGCTTAGGAATCTTGGGTTTTTGGATAACGTTGACCAAAAAGTAGGTCACCGTGACCTACTTTTGACATTTGGTGGCTATATTCAATTATCTTTGGTACTAATTGGCTTAGAATCTTCAAACTTTGTCAGATGATGCATCTTGGGTTTTCAGAGAATGTTGACCAAAAAGTAGGTCATGGTGACCTACTTTGGAATATTTTCAATCAAAAGGTTGGTCACTGTGACCTACTTATGGTATTTTACAATTATATTATAATATCTTCAGTCTTAACTGGCTAAATATTATCAAACTTTGTAAGTTGATGCGTTTTGGGTCTTATGATACTAATAGAGTTGGAGGCTTCTAATAGAAGTGATAGATTGTACAATTTATCAGAAGAGCGATTCAAGGCCCTTGGGCCTCTTGTTGCCACTGTGGTGGATATTCAAAATATAGTTGAAATTGATGGAGTGATTTGAATATTTCTTTTGTTGGAATGCTACTGTACCTGAAAGAAACAGCCAATCCAAATTTCTAGGTGACATATCTTATGAAATTAGTTGCCACTTAGAGCTCTGCTGTGCTACATGTAAATTGTATGTGGTATACAGATACACTCTATGCATCAGTCTTGTTGCCATGATTGTAAAATTGTAAAAAAAACTTTACAAATCTTTTGAATTGCTTCTACATGTAGCTCCTACTGTTTTTAAGTGATCTCATAGAGACTTAGCTATAACATAACATTCTGGTTTTTTGGGAATGATCAAGTCACCATAAGTGGGTGTATCACGTGTCTTTAGTACCATTTTAATGGACAGTGTGACCAAGACATATGATCCATAGTTCTCAAAAGGGGATTGTATTATTGAACTTTTTTAAACAAACAGAAGTGGCATTCAAATGATATTCTTTAAAAATGTGTGTTTTAGGTTCAAGCACATTCAGTGAGACACCTTTGCATCACAATTTAAACTTTAATATGCAATTAACCCAAAATATTAGAATTGATTTGCCGAAGGTATATATACACATCCATTGCTTTAATACATTTTTATTGTTAAATCTATGGATTTATTGGACAGTTCATATTTTAAATTTTGCTTGTAAAATATTTACAGTATGAATGATTTATTTGAATTTTGAAATCTAAATCTTTGGAAAATAAAAGCTTCCAATTTTTAGCTCACCTGAGCTGAAGGCTCAAGTGAGCTTTTCTGATCATATTTTGTCCATCGTCCGTCCGCCCGTCCGTCTGTCTTTTCACATTTTCGACTTCTTCTGAAGAACCACTTGGCCAAATTCTATGGAACTTGCTACAAAGCATCCTTGGGTAAAGGGGAATTTAAATTGTTAAAATGGAGGGCTAAGTCCCCTCACAAGGGAGATAATCAAGAAACGACAAAAGTAGGATGGGGTCATTAAAAAATCTTCTTCTCAAGAACCACTGTGTCAGAAAAGCTGAAACTTATGTGGAAGCATCCTGGGGTAGTGTAAAATTGGGAAATTATTAAAATCATGACCCCCGGGGGTAGGGCGGGGCCACAATGGAGAATCAAAGTTTTACATAAAATATATAGGAAAAATCTTTAAAAATCTTCTCAAGAACCACTGGGCCAGAAAAGCTGAAACTTACGTGGAAACATCCTGGGGTAGTGTATATCCTGAATTATTCAAATCATGATCCCCGGGGTTGGGGCAGGGCCACAATGGCCAACCAGGGATTTATCCAGCTATTTTGTTTTACTACCCTTTTCAATAAAGAGGGGAAAATGAGAGCCGCAGGCTCGATTTGAGCGCCAAAGGCACGAATATGCTAGGGGGGTCCGGCATGCCCCCCCGGAAAATTTTTAAATAAATGGAGCAAAATCCTGCATTCTGAGAGTTTTTGAGGGTCATTTCTAGACTTTTACCAAGGCAAAAAAAAGTACAGTTTATATACAAAATATGAAATAAAAACAATTAAAATCAAGGTCAAGACTTTATTTCATTTTTTCCCTAATAATTCTCTCCTACTTTTCTGTTTACAAATCAATTTTCCGTTTTTTCTTGTTTTTAAACAATTCAACAAGTGCATCTAGATCTTCATTTGATATCTCCTTTTCTCCTTCTTTGCAAATTCTCATGAGTGAATCAGGTGAACTCTGTGACAATCTGTTTCTTAGATTTGTACATAAACTTGCAGTCTATGCGAAAGTCACCGGACCGTCGGTTTTTACCAAATTGTAATTAAAATTTACAGGACCAAATGTGATCATAATAAGATTTAATTAATCTATTTTAAAAAATAAAATGTTAACCTCTGAAAAATTTAGGCCGTTTTAAATAAATCTAAATATACAGAGAAACACACGTTGTCAAATAAAAAACAAATATCCTTTATTTGACCAATTTAGCAGTAGTACCTGATTAATTTTTATGTATTACAACCCTGTCATGATCGTTTTAATTATACATTGTAATTCGAATTTCCTCTGTCAAAGATTAGAGATCTTTTGATAGCTCATACGTAGATTTGGTTTGGAAAATATTTAGATAGCTCATACGTAGATTCGGTAGGGAATTTGTTTTCAAATGATTATTAAACTTGAGTAACCATAATGAGATTTCAGGAAAAATAAATATGCATTGAAATTGAATATTAGATTTAAGAAAGTCTTAGATATTGTGTATGTTGTATAAATCAAATATGAAGAAAAAGTGCAATTGTATAAGCTCGTTCAAAGGAAAAATATAAATACTTAACTAATCTGAATTTTTTACAATCCCCACCCACCCTCTCATTCTCAATATCATAATGATGTATGAAGAAAAATATAAATACCTTTTTTCACTCTGAAAAAATTTCAGTGGCGAACACAAAAAAGGTCGCTTTGGTCTGGTAAAATTTTTATTTTTACCAGACATTTTGTCCTGTAAAAATTTTAAACTTTCGCGTAGACTGATAAAGAATTCATAAGGCTAAATCCTCTTTCCACAGAGGCTGTAGAACATGGTATTACTAAAGCCAAGTTTAAGAGTTTCATGATATTCGGATATAATTGACCAAGGCCATCTCTCTTGCACACAGAGTACAGTCCTGCGGTGTCCATTGTCTTCCCCTGTCTCCTCATCTGTTGACTAAAAACATGAAAAAACATAAAATGAGAAAAGTGTCAAAACTCAAAATGTTCAAAAAAAGGTACCTTTTTAATGGGGCCAGTATATGTTTTACAAATCTTTTAAGTCATTTAAATGGTAAACAGCGATGTACCAAAAAAATCTTGTTTAAATCAGTTCTTTAATTCAAGTAATATCATTTTGAAAAAAAAAATGTCATTTAAATTGAAGGGTATCAACATTCTTTATGCAGATTACACAAAAAAATCTATTAAATCACTTAATAAAATAATCAATTGAATATCATACTTGAGAAAGAATAAAATATTTAATTTGTGCATCATGCTATCCTGATCATGTTACACCAGTGTCGGACCCAGTTTCCATTATTAAAAACATAATTCAATTGTCACAACCTACATTTTGTATTCTTGGCCATTAAACTTGTCAACAACTACATGTATACCAAGAAATTACATTTATAGAGTACCTTCAATTATACATTAAATGTTAATTTTTGTTCAAAATCATGAAGTGCAAATTTATATGCATACAAAGGTCAGAATTGTGTATGAATGCTGTAGTGTAAATTTCAACCCTAAGAGAAGATACATATGATGTAAATGAAATTCATGTGATGGAAGTGTGTAAATTTCACAAACATGTGTGTTTTAACTTGAAATTCACATTTAAAAATGTATATCTGCCCTTTCTTAATTCATCTTGGAACTCTTTGCATCTACCATAAGATGGTCCTCTTTGGGAGACATTACAATTTTTTGTAAGTGTGGCAATTCAGTTGAAGTCATAAAAAAAAACCGTAGGATATTCAAATTCATTGTCTTTGCTGTTGAGATCTAAATGCCCTTTCTTGATCGCTCTTAATATTGTTGGTTTAGCAATTTTTTCCCCTATATAACTAAGAAAATTTACTCTTGATTTCTCTAATTCTTGATCTCTCGAAACCCTTGATCCCTCGGAGTCAAAATGCAGTCCCGCTATGCATATTCTATTGAAATTTACCCTCGATACCTCGAAGTGGCTATGTGTATACAAAGTTACATAAATAGCAACTTTACCTGGACATTTAATGGCCCCTGGCAGAAGACACGGGTCTCGTGATACGGGATGTTTATTCAGGTGACACTTATACTGTACGGTTATAATTGATTTATAATTAATCATCAATGTTTCCAAAATGATGTCCGTAATTATAAAGAATGCATAAATAAATATGAACTGACGATGTACATTTTTTGCTTTACTCATTTTAATAAATATTAACTAAAATACGAAAATATATCATTGTTTTATAAAAACCACGTGTAAAAAGTTAGCACTGCATGAAAATCATTACATCCAGTAAGACTAATTTTAAAACCTGTCAAACAAACCCCGAAAATTCCAGACTCTTGAAAACTCAACTCTTGAACTCTCAAGTTTTCCCTTGAGCATCAACTATCTGAGAAAACCTGTATCATCCTTTATACAGAAATGCTATCGTGCAAATCCTTATTTTCAAAAACAGCCTCATATGGTAGAAGAATACTTTGACTTGCATTCACAAGGGGGGATGTCAATGGTAACATCGGACAGAACTCTAGCAAAGCTGGGGTCAACAAAGATGGACCAGGACTCGCTGAACGAACTTCTGAAAAGGATCCCAAGCAAGCACAGCAGTGAATGTAAACAAATGTATGAGGAACACAGAGAGCTTTTCAGGTGGATGTTTCACATGTGGCAAGTAGACTTTCAATTTTACATCAATTTTTAAAAAAAAGTTTTGTTAAGTTTTCAAGTCTGAGTTATCCAACCAGAAGTTGAGCTAAATACAATCAAACTTTAAGCAGTCACCTGTGGGAGCCATTTTAAATACCGTAGAAGTAGAAATTTTGGCGAGACGCAAATTTAGCAATTTCTACCTAAAATCTGGTACATGTATTTTATTTTTAGCGAGAAGTAATTTTAGTGATTTTGAAATGCTAACTAAAGAAGCTATTACAAATAATACGCAATCAATTTTTAGCGATATTCAATTTCAGCAATGTCAGCACCCTCGCTAATAATGCCAAAATTAAATCCTCGCTAAAAATTCTACTTATACGGTAACATTTATTCATATTATGAATAGAGGTTTATCTTTTTTTAAGAAGTGTATCTTCCAATTATGTGCATGGATTCTACTTTTTTGACATGGTATTCGGATATTGTTTAGGTGATTATTGAACCATCAAACTCTTTTATACATGTATTTTATTAAGATTACTGGTAAGCATGAAATTTTTTAGCTCACCTCAACGAAGTTGGGCGAGCTTATGTAATACCCTCGGCGTCGGTGTCGGCGTTGGCGTCGGCGTCCCAGGTTCAGGTTAAGTTTTTTGGAGCAGTTTTCTTTTTAAGAACTTCTATGTCCTATATTGATTAGACATGCATGGAAGATGCTTTAAGTGTGTTTCATTGTACCAGTCAAAGTTTCAGATGCTGCAATTTCAGCAAAAAAAATGACCAGGTTAATGTTTTTGGAGCAGGTTAACATTTTTGGTGCAGTTTTTGGTGTAGGTCTCATTTCCAAGGAACTATAAGCCCTATGTTGACCAAACTTGCATGGATGATACATCTAAGGATGCACACTACCGGGCTTGCTTCGGATGCTGAATCTGACCTACATTTTCCGGTTGAGTGAACAGGTTAAAGTTTTTGGTGCAGGTTTCATTTCCAAGTAACTATAAGACCTATGTTGACCAAACTTGCATGGATGATACATGATACATCTAAGGATGCATACTGCCAGGCTTGCTTCGGATGCTGAATCTGACCTACATTTTCCAGTTGAGTGAACAGGTTAAAGTTTTTGGTGCAGGTTTCATTTCCAAGGAACTATAAGCCCTATGTTGACCAAACTTGCATGGATGATACATCTAAGGATGCATACTACCAGGCTTGATTCGGATGCTGAATCTAACCTACGTTTTCCAGTTGAGTGAACAGGTTAAAGTTTTTGGTGCAGGTTTCATTTCGAAGTAACTATAAGCCCTATGTTGACCAAACTTGCATGGATGATACATCTAAGGATGCATACTACCAGGCTTGATTCGGATGCTGAATCTGTCCTACATTTTCCAGTTGAGTGAACAGGTTAAAGTTTTTGGTGCAGGTTTCATTTCCAAGTAACTATAAGTCCTATGTTGACCAAACTTGCAAGGATGATACATCTAAGGATGCATACTACCAGGCTTGCTTCAGATGCTGAATCTGACCTACATTTTCCGGTTGAGTGAACAGGTTAAAGTTTTTGGTGCAGGTTTCATTTCCAATTAACTATAAGCCCTATGTTGACCAAACTTGCATGGATGATACATCTAAGGATGCATACTACCAGGCTTGCTTCGGATGCTGAATCTGACCTACGTTTTCCAGTTGAGTGAACAGGTTAAAGTTTTTGGTGCAGGTTTCATTTCCAAGTAACTATAAGTCCTATGTTGACCAAACTTGCATGGATGATAAGTCTAAGGATGCATACTACCAGGCTTGATTCGGATGCTGAATCTGTCCTACATTTTCCGGTTGAGTGAACTGGTTAAAGTTTTTGGCGCAGGTTTCATTTCCAAGTAACTATAAGTCCTATGTTGACCAAACTTGCATGGATGATACATCTAAGGATGCATACTACCAGGCTTGCTTCGGATGCTGAATCTGACCTACATTTTCCAGTTGAGTGAACAGGTTAAAGTTTTTGGTGCAGGTTTCATTTCCAAGTAACTATAAGCCCTATGTTGACCAAACTTGCATGGATGATACATCTAAGGATACATACTACCAGGCTTGCTTCGGATGCTGAATCTGACCTACGTTTTCCGGTTGAGTGAACAGGTTAAAGTTTTTGGTGCATGATTCATTTCAAAGTAACTATGTGTTCTATAATGTCCAAACTTGCATGGATGATACATCTAAGGATGCATACTTCCAGGCTTGCTTTGGATGCTGAATCTGACCTACATTTTGTGGATGAGTGAAAAGGTTAGTTTTTGATGCAGGTTTCATTTCCAATTAACTATGAACCCTATAATGAGCAAACTTGCATGGACGATTTATCTTAGGATGCACACTAATGGACTTGCTTCGGATGCTGAATTTGACATACATTTTTCAGATAATGGACCAGGTAAAAGTTATGGGTGCAGATCTATTACCAAAAAAGTATAAGGCTTATATAACATTGTATAAACCAAACTTGCACAAATGATGCATCAAGGGATGAAAACTCTCAAATTTGCTTCAGATGCTGGATTTTAATTACATTTGCATGAAGAAAAACTAGTTTTAATTTTTTATGTAGGTCTATTTCAAAGTATCAGATCAAAATTGCTTAAATATTTTCATTTTTGGAATGTACACTTTTTGTTTGTTAATTGTGTGACTTTGCCTTACTTAAAGACAACATTCGTTGAGGTGAGCTCTGTAATCTCTGATTACCTATGTTTAAAGTATATATTTGTTAAATGTTTGTGCAAAAATTAAAAAAATAAGGTACATTACCTTAGAATATAAAATCCTCAGAAAATGTGTGCAGGTTCTTTTTCTTTCATTCTTTCTTTATAAAAAGCCTTACTGGTGTTTTCTCTTTTGCAGCAATGGATACAATATATTGTTACATGGTCTGGGCTCCAAGAGAACTTTGATTGAAGACTTCAGAAGATCTGAACTAAAAGATGTAGATCATATTGTTGTTAATGGGTATTTTCCAAGTCTGACCATTAAACATGTAAGTGTTAATTTCATATGTAACTGCAATACCCAGTAGGGATTTGTATTTATCATTGTCTGTGAGGTTCAAACATACATTACTTTCCTAATGATGTAACATGGTAGTTTGTTGAGCATTCAGGTGACTCGATCAGCACATTTATTATATACCTACTGTGTATCACTCAATTTTACTGTTGATTTAACGCTATCATGTGACGTCGTGATCCGACTTTCTGGATCACCACACTGTGGTTTTCTGAATCCATATCACCACTCTCTGAAACTGATGATGTACGCAAAAACATGACGTTCTTTTTCTTGCGCGTTAAAAAGTCCCTTGTTATTATGCTTTGTTTTATGGATAAATATTATACAATTGATCTCTAAAGTGTTATTTTGCTCTATTTAGGTAGTTATGAGAGGGTATATAATAAATTTATCATTATAACAGTAACTTGATCCGAAGAGCCGTATACATCTTGTTGACTGGCACGGATCATCAGATCAAACTCGACGCTTCATGTCTGTTAGATCTGATGATCCGCGCCTGTCAACTCGATGTGATACGACCCTTCGGATCAAGTTACTGTTATAATAATATGTATGGATTTGTAATTTTATATACTGATATTCTCTTATCAAAAATACACTATGGAATCATTAATTTACACTAATAATAATTATACATGTGTATCACTATGAGCTTTTTCTGATAAAATTACCTCCAGCATCTGTTTAGCTGTCTGTCCATCTGTAAACCTTTTTACATATGTTAAAAAAACTTAGTGAAAGCTTCTTTGTAAAGTGTAGATTCAAAGTTTGAACAAATTATGACCAAGGGGTAAAGGGTTGGACCAGCGTAACTTCATGGTCTCCCCAAGATCAAACTTGAATGAATGATGCATTAAGGGATAAATACTCCAGATGATGTATCTGACCTACATTTTCTGGATGAATGACCAGGTTAAGATTTTGAAGAAGGCTCATTCCAGTGTAACTTCAAACCCGATGTGGACTAAGTTTGAATGATTGTTGCATCTTTGGATGCACTAATTTTGAATGGTTGTTGTACATGTATCTTTGGATGCAGACTATCAGAATTGACATGAATGCTGGATTTGACCCACATTCTCAGGGAAAGTTTTTAGAGCAGGTTGATTTCCACATGTCTATAAAACTTTCTTGGACCAAACATATTGATGCATCAAGATAAGCACACTATTAAACAGACATGCTTTGTATGTTAAATCTGATCTCCATTTTTAGCTCACCTGAGCACATTCTGATCACATTTTGTCAGTCGTCCGTCTGTCTAGCTGTCTGTCTGTCTGTCCGTCTGTAAACTTTTCACATTTTCGACTCCTCAAGAACCATAAGAACCAATTTTGACCAAACTTGGTACAAAGCAGCCTTGGGTAAAGGGAAATTTAAATTGTTAAAATGAAGGGCCAAGCACAGGCAACTGACTTTACTTATTTTTCTTTTAATAAAAAAAATATACCCTCACCTTATAATAAACCAAGGCTCCCAACGGCGCCATCTTGAATTTTTCAAGGTCTGCCACATCCACTTGTACTTTCGTCTGAAACTCCGTCAAATAAATTCCCTGCAACCATATTCTTTCTGTAGCCAGTCTTTCGAGGTCTAAACTTACGGACACTGCAGCCAGAAGGGCACATCACACTTGCAAATATTAAAAATCTCTCGTCAAACTCGATCTACTGCTTCAACAATCCGAGAAATCGCCAAAGGGGGGCCGGAAAGTTTACATACGACTTGAATTTCTTAAGGAAAGCCCTTTTTTGATTGGTCGATATATTTATACGATTTATTTTTAAAAATATTTTAAACCAGCGAAAGTTATAAACTACTTATTCCAAAACAGTTCAGACAATAATACAACGTAATATACATGTAAGAACATTCATTTTATTTCTCTCCAAAATAATTTCGATATACTAGTAGCTTGATCAAAGCGATTATATTTTGTAAATGTCGAAGATCGGCCTGATCATGCTGTACATTGTAGCTGATCATGATCAATGAACATTTTCGAGACAAAATATTGAGTCGGTTGTAAGTCCCTACTTACATGCACTAGATATAATTAATAACACTGTCATGATTGATGCCCTGATTGAGCGATATCCATGGAGAAGATTGACTTTGTTTATTCAAAGTATGTACGCACGTGTGTGAGACGGGGGGGGGGGGTTCCATAAAATTATTCCAGGGAGTGTTGAGATCTACAATTTTATGTATTGCAATAAAGTAATGGCATGGCGACATCTTGTTTCTTGGTGACGTGACAGATGATACATATACATACTGCATAAGCTAATTGATTTCATTACATATCTTTTTATCAGTGCATGTATCCTCTCCCCTTTTTCAATTAAGCATATGCCAGGTATATATGTATATACACATGTATATATAACTGGATGGTTTGCAGTCTATTGTTTTTTGAAAACCAATCAATTAACTCTAGATGATTTGTTGTTGATTTTTTTTTCAGGCACCCCCTCTTTTATTCAAGAGTGTTTCAAACGCAACGATTTGTATAGATTAATACAGTATATTTTACAGGTATATTCATAAGAAGTGTTTTATTTTTCCCAGTTTGCATTTTTGTTCATTTCAGTAATCGAAATAATTATTAAAATTCAAAGTAATTAAAACACGCCGCTATAGATCCACCACAAAACTGACAAATACGGAAGTCCCATTAGCATATTGATGTAAACTTCCGGCCCCCCTTCGGCGATTTCTAGGATTGTTGAAGCAGTAGATCGAGTTTGACGAGGGATTTTTAATATTTGCAAGTATGATGCGCCTTTATGGCTGCAGTGTCCGTAAGTTTAGACCTCGAAAGACTGGCCACAGAAAGAATATGGTTGCAGGGAATTTATTTGACGGAGTTTCAGACGAAAATACAAGTGGATGTGGCAGACCTTGAAAAATTCAAGATGGCGCCGTTGGAGCCTTGGTTTATTATAAGGTAAGGGTATATTTTTTTTATTAATAGAAAAATAAGTAACGTCAGGTGCCTGTGGGGCCAAGTCCCTTCACAAGGGGTGATAATCAAGAAAAGACAACAATAGGGTGGGGTCATTAAAAATCTTCTTCTCAAGAACCACTAGGCCAGAAAAGCTGAAACTTATGTGGAAGCATCCTTGAGTAGTTTAGATTCTAAATTGTTCAAATCATGACCAAGGGGTTGGGCGGGGCCACAATGGGGAATCAAAGTTTTGCATAGAAATATATCTCTAATTAGGAAAAATCTTCTCAAGAACCGCTGGGCCAGAAAAGCTGAAACTTATGTGGAAGCTTTCTTGGATAGTGTAGAGTCTAAATTGTCTAAATTATGATCAGTGGGATAGGGTAGGGTCACAATATGTAATACAAGGGGGAAATCTGGTAAAGAACAGCATGGTCAAAGCTTTTCAGGTGAGCGATGTGGCCCATGGGCCTCTTGTTCAGACGAGTGACAAGTGAAGTTTTAAGGACAAGCACATTCCTGGGTAACTGCAAACCCAATTTGAACTAAAATTGCATAAATGTTGTAACTATAAGGATGTACACCTCCAGATCACTTGTTTAATTTGCGACTTTGCTTTACTTCAATTATATTTAAGAAATAAAGTCCACGTTTTCGTGAATGTTGCAGAATAACCTCCGAGGTCGAGAAATGTTGTTTGAAAGATAAAAGCCGAGGCTTTTATTTTTCAAACAACATTTCGAGACCGAGGATGTTATTCTGCATCATTCACGACAACAAGGACTTTATTTCTATTCTTCCGTGTCAATTTAAATTGCTAAAATACGGCTGATTGTTTCCTCTATATAGAAAAGAATTAGTTCACCATGTCTCGATTACGCTGTTCCATTTAACACCAGAGGTAAAATTTGTTTGCTTACCTGTGTATGGAATACAGGCGATTTGAGCTTTCGTTACATTAAAAATAGCCTTTTTAAATTACAAATTTGTTCGTAATGTGTATTGATCAGTTATAATGAATATACAATAACAAAATCATGTTCCTGTTTCACTGCTAAAATCACGTTGTTTAATGTGTAGGGAGGTCCGTGGAATAGCCCCGCTTAGCTATAAAAACCGACATTCATCAGCAACTTTATGCAATTTACAGTGTTTATACTGCTAAAGATGACACATCGATGATGCGGTCTGAACAAGTATTTCATTCTACAGCCAAACATGCATTTGAATTGTTCAGATTTGATACGTGTTTCTGATCTGATAATTTTTTGATGACGTTCATGATCTATTGGAGAATAATGTCCGCGGCTTTGCTTTGATCTTTGCAGTAATCGTGGTAGAATTGTTGAGGTTAGTTCTTATTTTTTGCATTACCATGTTTCAGATTTTGAATACTATAATTGATGATATACTAGAAGTAGAGGGCAGCCACAGAAGTCCTCTGGATCAAGTAGATTTCATTAAATCACAGTTTGAGACAAAAGGTAATTCTAGATAGAGGAATACCATAGTTATAAGTTTATATGACATATGTTGTCACAGAAGTCTGTAAATCCATAGTACAATACATGTGAAAACAATATAACTAATAATAGGTCGTATACTTTTCCTCCAAAGATTACAGGGATTTCTTCCTCATTGTACATAATATTGACGGGATAATGCTACGTCCGGAGAAAGTTCAGAATATTCTAAGTTTGTTGAGCCAGATTAGAGGATTCCATATTATAGCTTCCATTGACCACATCAATGCTCCACTTAGTAAGTGTACAGTTTCTGCTTTTAATATGTTGGAGTTGTGGAAACATGTACTGTAAATCAACTTTTTATTTGCAACAGCTTTATTTTCACGTTATTACACAAGGCAGTACATTTTGTATATACAGTATATGTCATTCCATGTCAATATTATTCATTTAAAAAAAAAATTAATTTATATCAGGTTGATCTTTTGCGAATGCCAGTTTTCAACCTTTTAATGAACTAACAACTTAATATTTTATACAATGTGTTTTTGTTCATTGAAGGCAGAATTGATAGATAAGTCTGTTTTTGGCATGGCTAGCTAATGGATAGTTACATATTTTATCTTGGCAGTATGGGACCAGACAAAGTGCAGTCGATATTGCTGGCTGTGGTACGATGTCACCACATACTTACCATACACTGACGAGACTTCCTACGAGAACTCGCTTCTGGTGCAACAGACAGGTGCCCTCGCTCTCAGTTCTATGTCTCACGTAATGAAGAGTTTAACCACTAATGCTAAACAGATCTTTATACTGCTGGCCAAACACCAGATGGAGAACAAAGATAGTGGTACCTATATAGGTAAGCAATTTTATTTTCTTCAAAAATAGGACTGGGCATTGGCTTGGAATTAAGTATCGGACATGTGTTGCAATATTTTTAATTAAAATTTAAATGGTCTTTTTTTTTGTTTTAATAATTTCCATTTACAGGCATGTAGCATCGTGTTTGAAAGTGGGGGGGGCAAGCATAGAAAAAAAAATTTTTTTGCTTACTTGTAAAAGTTGACAAGCAAAAAAAAAAAGGAAATTTGGCCAAACTCGAAAATCCTATTTCGGGGGGGGGGGGGGGGGGGGGGGAGGTAAGTGGCCAACTTTTCTGAAGGCCAACTTCCTTTCACTTCCAATTTTTCTTCCATACATTACTTTATTTCCTTCATATTACTGTACTACTTTTTTGAAGGCCAACTTCCTTTCACTTCCAATTTTTCTTTCATACATTACTTTATTTCCTTCATATTACTGTACTACTTTTTTGAAGGCCAACTTCCTTTCACTTCCAATTTTTCTTCCATACATTACTTTATTTCCTTCATATTACTGTACTACTTTTTTGAAGGCCAACTTCCTTTCACTTCCAATTTTTCTTCCATACATTACTTTATTTCCTTCATATTACTGTACTCTGGTAAGAAGTGGGGGGGGGGGGGGGGGGGCAACCAACCTTTCAATGTACATTTTCTATAGTAAAAGTAATGTTGGGAAAAAAAGTGGGGGGCCCCCCCTGGCCCCCCCTGTTGCTACGTCCCTGATTTATAAACAGAGTGTATATACAACTAAGTCTGGTCATGTGGTTAAACCAAAACAGATCCTTGACCTATAATTTCAGTTAAAATTTTCCCTGAAATATAAATAAAATATAAATTAGTTAGATAGACATGTGTAAATAGTCAAAATGATTTATAAGTTTGTGAGGCATGTCAGCATGCTCTTGTTATAATGGTCAATTAATGCATTTTTGTAACTTAATTCCTTATAAAATTATCACTGTAGTAGTTGGGCATTCAGCCACTACTAATGTAAAAGTTTCGTACTTCGCGTTGTGTGTGTTTTTTTTTAAGATGTTCCTTTCAATAGTATTTCAACCTTTATTAACCCTTTTGATTTTCTGCCTGTAGTGAGGCTTGTAATTAAATAATAAATAGATAATAAAGTTTTAAATCTTTAATAAAGTTTAACAATTGTATATGAGAATTCGAAACACAAATTAATAATCCCGGGGATTCATGTATGAAAAATATGATCGAACAAAAAAAATTTTTGTTGATTTCATAACACTTTTGCAACAAAATGGGACCACACATGTTCAACCTTTCTGTTCTGCATGAACATTTCATGTTTGAACGATTTCTGGCATCTTTTAAAAATTTCTTGTTTTACTTTAGAAATCCCAAGACCAAGCATTTGCGACTCTATCAGTACATGAAATATTGCAACACAATATTTTTGTCAACAAATCACAATATACCGGAATATCAATATTATTGTGCAGCCTAATTAAAAAATTGAAATTAATAGCAGTAGGATGTGTAAATGCTTCTTGCAATCGCAGGTCAGTTACCCTTTAATTTATCCTGGTTGGATTTTTTTACTGGTTGGGATTTTTTGATTCCCAATTTGGATTAGAAAATAGGAGCATAGGAAAAATTCTTTTATTTTCAAGCTGCATTTTAAACTGATTAAGATAAATATTGATTCCAATTGCTGCTGTTCCTTGCAAAGGAATGGGCATTTCTTATGACAGGTATTAAGTATTAAAAATATTTTCCTATGCTATGTTGAGAAATTAATTGACAATGATAAACGAGAGAAAAGAAATAAATTTCTAAAGAGAGTCACGCATCGTAGACTTTATAAACTGTTTTATATTTTTGTTTAGGTATGTCCTTACAAGACCTTTACCAAAGATGCAGAGAAGCTTTCCTCGTGAACAGTGATTTAACATTACGTGCTCAGTTAACAGAATTCAGAGATCATAAGCTGATCAAGTCCAAGAAGGTCTGTAAAGTTTAATTCTAATGCAATTGGTTTGTAAAACACATTTTGATTGGCTAATGTGCTTTGTTTGAAGCAGTAAAACGAGCATTAATGAGAGTGAAAACTTTTCATTGTGACGTCATAAAAGAGCGATGCAAAAACACAATGTGCCTTGACATATTTCATATAATGAAATTCAACAAAACAAGCATTCTGAGAGTATTGCATAAGCAATACATGTCCACTCTGGGTTCCCCTTTTTCTCTAGAATGTCATTTTATAATATGCAAAAGTTATGACCACTGTAAAACTGCTTAATGTTAAAATTTTAAGGTTGTGCATGCCTTTAACCTTAAAAGACATTCCACATAAAGACGAAAATTCAACTCATTTTTTCAACGTTTTTTTTTTACTTCATATTTACCATGTTGACCTTCAGAATTTAGCGCAGCACAAACCCGGCCCCAGGGTCATGAAACAAACTTAGACTTAAGTCAAATTTTCAATCGCCTATAAAATAGTCATTGGTTGAGGAATTAATTTAGAAATTTGCAGATAACAATGCTTCTGTAAAGCAATATTGAAAAATATTTCAATTTTGGTCTGCTAGACCTGTACCACATTTTATTATAAAGTGAAGATTTTGACTTAAGCTTAAGATGTTTCATGATCCAGGGGCCTGGATCTTAAACCATTATGAAAAATTAAAAATACCCTAATTCTGTCAGAAATCAATGAAGCAATACAGCATTCAAACTTGATCTGTAACTCATTAAGATACACTCACATACCAAAATTCAGCTCAATATCTGCAAGTGTTACAAAAAAAAAGTGCGAAAAACCAAGTAGGACAGACTGACAGGCAGACATGGGACAGACGGATGGATGGACTGACTGATGGACGGACGGACTTAAACTTGTGCTGCATAAATTACACTTATGTTTAAAATTATTCAATCCACTTGACACTACAATTAAATATCTTTGAAGTTTGAAGACATATCGATGAAAGAATTATATTATTATACCCCGCTCCGAAGGAGAGGGGGTATACTGTATTACCCTTGTGTGTCTGTCTGTCCGTCCGTCTGTGTGTCCGTGTGTCTGTCCGAAACAAATTTTCCTTGCAGTTTTCTCAGCAACTACTCATTATAGCAGCTTGAAATTTTAACACAATCTTCCCTGAGGCATGCCATATGGTGGGATACATTTTTGTTCAAATCTGATGTCAACTTCCTGTTTGTCTGTGCATCTGTCTGTTTCATACATAACAAGTTTTCGTCACAGTTTTCTCAGCAACTAATCATCGTAGAAGCTTGAAATTTTAACATAATCTTCTCGGAAGCATGCCATATGGTGGGATACTTTTTTGGTCAAATCCGATATCAACTTCCTGTGTGTCTGTGTGATTGTCCGTTTCATGCATAATAAATTTTTGTCACAGTTTTCTCAGCAACTACTCATCGTTTAAGCTTGAAATTTTAACACAATATTCTCTGAGGCATGCCATACGGTGGGATACATTTTTCGTCAAATCCGATGTCAACTTCCTGTTTGTCTTCGTGTCTGTCCGTTGTATACAAAACAAGTTTTTGTCGCAGTTTTCTCAGCAACTACTCATCGCAGATGCTTGAAATTTTTACACAATCTTCCCTGAGGCATGCCATATGGTGGCAAATCAGATGTCAACTTCCTGTTTGTCTGTGCGTCTGTTTCATACATAACAAATTTTTGTCACAGTTTTCTCATTAACTATTCATAGTAGATGCTTGAAATTTTAGTACACTCTTTCTTGAGGCATGCCATGTGGTGGGATTAATTTTGATATGAATCTGATGTCAACTTCATATTTTTCTGTTCATCTACCTGTAATTGAACTTGTTTATATTAACATGATAATGTTTATTTAGATTAGAGCGGGGGGTATTACTAGTGAGTATTGGCTCACAGATTTCTTGTTAATTTTTAATTTATATTGATACAAAATTAAATCATAAGGAATACAAGTTATATGTTTATGTAAAAAAAAAATGGTTTGAAACAGTTTTCTTTTTTTCCCAACTGTTTTGCAGTTTATAAAGCATGACCTGTTCCAACCTAAGTTGTATTATATAACTAGAGAATATATTGATTTCTTTATTTATATTAAATTTAACTCTCTATGCAAACAGTTCATAACTTCAGTACAAAGTATATTTAATGGAATGCTGAAATAATAAAACAAAGACATATTTTTCTATATAGTTCTAGATCTTTTAAATAAATTGAAAAAATATTGATTACTTGCAGGGTTTTGAAGGAATTGAATACCTTGTAATCCCAGTGGACAATGCTACACTAACAGAGTTCATAGAACAGCATGATAGTAATGTGTAACTGAAAGCTGGACTTCAGTTGTGATTCAATTCATCCCAACAAACATAACATTGACAATAAGTTTGGTGCAGTTGTATGTCAAATTAATATATGTGTTTAATATTGAACATTGTTATTTGCAAAAAAAAAAATTGTAATTAACTTATTGGAATTGAAAAATAAATTTAGGAGTATCCATAGGATGATGTTTGCTGTTCATTTGTATGATTGATTTCTGTCTCAGGACTTTTTAATATGACCTTTTAATGAAAAAATACATGTACAGCTGATGTAGGAGTAGCATTGATTTTATTAAAAAGTCCATAAATGATCAATGGGCATGCTGTCCTGCCAATTATATGACCAGGGCATAAAGTGCTCATCAGATATGTCCATGGAATCTTATGTTCTTGATCTGTCTCATCCTTCACACTTTGCATGTTGCTTAATTTCAAACATACACAGATACTTTCAAAAATATGTAATTAGAGGTACATGTATTCAGTAAAAAAAGAAGATAATCAGTAAATAAATCAACACTGAAAGAAACCAAATAATAAAAAGAAAACCAAGGCAAGGACTCCTGAGATGGACCAGTTGTCATGGAGGAGTCAGACATCCCCTGTCGACTGCCATGTGCTCCTCATCATGGTCTATTAAAGATATAAATAATATAAAAATAATTTAGTGTGATGATTAAGGCCTAACTCACACTTACTTATTTTCATATTTTTCCTTTTACTAGATCATGATAAGGTAAAGGAAAAAACAAGTAAAATTGATGCAAAGCATCAAATCGAGTGACAAAAAAATGTAGCATTTTAAAAAGTACATTCACAGGTGAAAAAGTATCTATGCTAGGAAAGCACACGGTTTTCAAAGCTGAAATAGTGATCCTTTCTATATAGGACAGACTAAAACAAAATAAATAATAAAAAAAAATAATAGAAATTTAGTGCATGTGCTCATCGAATGGATTCATCAATGTAATAAACTCATTGATAGGGTAGACTTGACTTTACCGGGCCCCAGATCCGCAAGATCTTCGAGCTCATTGGACTATGACGTAACATTTACGTCACTCAACTGATAAGGGTTAAACTTGCACACTTTTCTATGGAACGCCGGGACTGTCTTATATGAAGATTAAATATTATATGCAGTGCTTCCTTTATTATATGCGGTACTATTTTTATTATATGAAGTAGTTTTTACATTATATAGTGTACAACCTCCATTACATGCAGTACTTCTCTCATTATATGATGTAGATATGTCATTATATTATGTACATCTATCATTATATGAAGTGCTTTTAACATTATATGCGGTAGTTTTAACATTATATGCGGTAGTTCTAACATTATATGCGGTAGTTCTAACATTATATGCAGTAAACACAACAATATATTACGTACTTCTCACATTATATACAGTACATTCATCATTATGTGTAGTATTTCTGTTATTATGATGATGCTGATCATTAAATATTATGTCCGGTCCAGTTAGCATTCCGTGCGGTAGATTTTGCATTTCTTTATGATGTAGACACAGTATTATATGCGGTGCTTTCTTCTTTATGATGATGATCTTTCGGAAGCTACCCTTCGGAACTCTCTGTTCAAGGTTCTTCTTTCTATCAACTGTTGAATTTAGTACAATAAAAATACATGCACGTATTATTTATGTCTCTGATTCAAGCAGTGAATTATAAATGCTACATGAACTGATTAAATTGTTTTTAAAAGATAAGAAGTAGGATAATAGAGTAAAATAAAATGCCATCTATTTTATGGTATGAAGTAAAAAGAGAGAGAGAGAGAAGGGGAGTGGAAAAAAAATGAGAGATTTTTTTTCTTTCTTGTGAACAATATAGCATTCAAAAAGATTCATTTCATATGTAGGACAATCAATTTCAAAATGGGTAATGAAAAAAAAAATGATGTCTTCGAGTACGCAGGTCTTTAACAGCGAGTTATAGAAAACATTACATTATTTATTTACTTGTATTTAGGGGTGGGGTGTGCTAATTTTTCATAATGTAAAATTACCCTTTATCTCTGAATTTATAGTCTGTCCCACCAAGTTACTGTAAGCACTTTTCGCATAAAATCTCAAAATATATAAATACCTTGGCTTTCAACCCAGTTCCGATCGATAGATCATTTTTTTCCAACTTTCCGCCGTTTATCCGAACCCTCGAGGTCAACCAGTGTATACACACGGCGGCAAATTCAAAGTCTACGGAGATTTAACATGGTAAACTCGTCCATTGGCGTCTAGATTACGGGGCCGGGAACCAGTTTTCGAAGGGAGTAGTCGTCCTTTGCAAAGTAAATTTCCAAAAAATCGTTAAAAATTCAAGGAATTAATTTAAATTGCTTTTATCGATAATATAACTTTTACTTTGAATTAAAATAAATTTTAACAGCATTTAACAAATTTAATTATAAACTACGAGAGAAATAGTCCGAATCTAACGAAGTACAACTTGTGGATAATGGCTGTGGGCATGATGATGCAAGCTTGCCAGGCGCAGTGTTTAAAACGTAAGTTGTTTATATATTCTATGGTACTTTTTGCAGCTGTTGTTGTTTCCTAGCTTATATACACACAAGAAAGAAGTGTCTACAAATGCTAAGAATATAAATATATTTCAAAACGCGTGATATTGCTGACATTAGAACAACAGCCCTAGTGCTCATGGTTAACCGTTCGTGTTCAGTGACGGTTAAATGAATGTCAAAGCCCATGTGTGGTTTATATCGAAAAGGGGTGTTTCAGAACACGAATATGGTTAAACAATTAGGTGAAATAATACCAAAAAGAATATAACAGGTAGTTAACTTAGTAACTAAAGTTTTGGAAAATGAAAAGGGGTTTATTCTTACTTTCATTTTCAATTTTCAATTTATAACATTCCATGTACATACTACATGCATTTGGCAAATAAATAATAAGCTAGAGATCTAAAGTGCATTTTTATTTTTTCCTTATGTGTAGTATCTCAACACCCTGGGGACATCAAAACAGTTTTCAATAGATGACACATTTTGGAATTATTTTTCAAATCTTTTTATAATATTAAAATGTGCATGTAATTTTTCATCAAGTCTTTGGATTGAGTTCTATAATGGTCATTTATCACAGTACATGCATGCATATTGATGAACTAATTAGCAGAACCAGGCATAAAGTAGATGAATATGCACGTACTGTTTCAGAAAATAATGATTTGTCTTGACCTTGCAGTTTAAATGAGAAAGTAATTATATATGTAGTATTCATGAAAGGAAAACAGAAAAACTAAATAGAAGAACATGTCTGAATAGTTTGATCAGCAAATGCACAAGTTCAGATAGGTACAATAACTTCATCATACAAACTGAAAATAAATTGATATGCATCATGAAGAGGAAATATCCATTACAGGTTATACTATAACTATAATTGCCATTCTCAAAATTTAATAGTCTGGTCATCTCAAAAAAAAAATTTTGATTGCCCTGTCCCAACCAACTGGCTAAAATGACTCAAAACTTTTTTTTTATCTCAGGAAGCAATTAAGCTTTTTTGTATTCTGGAGAACACATTATTTACTTATAATTACGGTAATTTTTACTGAGAATAATTTTCTCATCTAGCTATATACCAACCTAATCCTGGTTTGGGAGAGGGCAGGCCTAGACAGCATTGTTTTTTCTGTAAAGTCCTATACTGCTCAAATGTGAACTTAATTTGAAAATTTCTGTTTCCTTAATTCCAAGATTTTCATTTAAAGTACTTGTTTTTAAAAACCGTAGAGCATAATTAAAATATTTTCTGATGTACCCTGACACACATTTTTTCAAGGTGGGTAGGTGGGTGCTCTTTTTTGGCTTAATAATATTGATCAAATTGATATCAAAGTGTCATTAAAAAATTCCAGACTCAACAGAAATTTATTAATATTTTCAATATACACAGGATATCTAGACAGATGAAATATATATTGTTAAAATTTTTTTAATCTAAAAGCATCCATTAGAAATCACATACAATTTTTTAAAGGAAACAGTATCTATTTCTATAAATGTTTAATAAAGGCTAAATAAATCAAACACCATGGATTGTGTAAAATTTTGAGAATACCGAACATGAAAACATGAATATATACATGTATGTGACTTCTATTCTGCATAGTAACTCCTCACCGTGTAAAGTGACTCCGTGGTCTAGTGGTTATGTCTTCTGCTTCAAATGTGAGAGGCCCCGGGATTGATCTTGTCGAATCTTTCTTTTTAAATACTTTTTTTTACTAAATGATTGATAATTAACATTAATTTTATACATGTTTATGAGCTCATAAAACTGTTCTTTTAAACTATATGATATTCAGTAAACCACAAAAACTAATATCTTTATTATGAAAATACATTGGGATGGAATCTCACAAAGTGGATCGTGCAATGTGACAATTGCTTTGAAACATGTAACACATGTAAAATGATAAATAATTATTTATGATGATTTCAACTTAATTATTCAGTTGAGGGTTGCATTCTGTATATGCTAGTAGCATAAAAATAGCTGACCACTCTTAGATTATATAGTATATATCTTTAAAGAAGCTAAAAGCAGGTGATATATGTGTTCCTTGGAACACTTTAGTTTGTAATGGCTGTACTCTTTTATAACACTAATCTTCCTCTTCTTTTCAGCAATGTTAAGCTTGATTTAGCCACTGCATTATAAGGAGAGAAGCAGAAACCCTGACTAAAGTAAAGATGATTTGCATAACAAAGGCAGTAAGTTTACCATATAATATTCAAGATCTTCAAAATATCCCGTCTCTTTTAAATACATGTATTGAGAATGATTTGTTGAAGCTCAGCACCTGTCAGATGTGAATACATGTTACATTTTTCCCTCATCATTCGTAATCTTCTTCCAAAGAACCACTGGCCAGAAAAGTTGAAACTTATGCAGAAGCATCCTGGGGTAGTGTAGATTCTAAATTATTTAAATTATGACCCTTGGGGTAGTGGGACTACAAATAGGGAACCCAACTTTTACATTGAAATATACAAGAAAAATCTATAAAAATCTTCTTCTTTGGCATTACCAGTACTAGGCAAGCAAAACTGAAACTTATGCAAAATCATTGTGGGGTAGTGTAGATTTTAAATTGTTCAAATTATGACCCCAGGGGTTAGGTTGGGTCACAAAAGGTATAACAAGTGGGAAATCTGGTAAAGAACTGCATCATCAAAGCTATTGAGGTAATTATAAGTGATGTGGCTCATGAGCCTCTTGTTATATAAGTTGTGATAATTTACAGAAAATTTGAGAAAATATTAACTGCAAATCTGTGTCCTAAGCACCTGTAATACTGCACTATCTCACCATTTGAAAGAATAAACAAACATTGATAAAAAAAAATGTAATTATAACTGAAGCATAGAATATTTGTTTATACTTTTATTGCTTACAAAATTATGTTTTTATAGGATGAATAAATCACAAGAGTCCAAAGTTTTGATGACCATGCAGAGTCGAGATATTGAAACAAAGACATGTCTGCACTGTTCACTCAATTTTTCAGAATAACGTGTCAAATTGAAATCCATCTTATGTTGGACTAAACAATCAGGACATTTTTCTGGATCACAGGTTGTAAGTGTTTACATTGTATATGAATGAGAAAGATTTTGCTCTTCCTATGTATACTTCAGATTGAAACCTGAAAATGAGAATTGACCAAGTATTGTATTTTTGATAAGTAAACAATTCATATTAATATGAGCACAATCTGAATTTTTATTGTAACATATATTAGCTCTTGTCTTGGAAAAATAACAAATGAGCAATTGCGTACATGCACTTAAAACGTTTTACAGAAAAAAATGGTAAACGATTAAAAGTATTGACAAAATAAAAATATACACTTACTTGTTTTTCAGCTGCTTATACTCGGATTTTAAACTCTCATTTTCAAAAAATAAATTCAAACAATGTTTGCAGTAGCTTTTCATTGGCCCAAACGGTTCGTCTCTTCGCCAACTTCTTGGCAATGACCTATGCTCGTTGCTGGTAAAATATATAGCAATATATTTGTATTTGGTTTAAAAATCAACATTAAGCATAACATTTTATATATTTAAAATTCAAGAAAATCGGTGGCTTGTAAATTAAATGGCATCTTATATCCACTACGGTGGCGGATCCAGAGGGGGGGTTACGGGGGTTGCAACCCCCCCTTTGGATTCGCAAAAAAGAAAGAGAAAGAAAAAAAATTCCAATTTTTGTTGTGTTTTTACCATAGAAACTGTTTAGTAAAAGCCTAACTTTTTAATATACAAAGAAAATCGGTTGTGAAAACAAAATAATACCCTACCCCTTTACAAAATTGAATTTTCAGGTTCAAAAATTTAATTTCCTTTCTTTTTCAAACACTTTCTGGTATTTAATCCATACAAATACTTTTTCCCAGGTTGATCATTCTCCAACTAAAAACCATACTCCACCCTGTATCCTACTGAGCTATTTATAACTATGTGTATGAGTACATAACTCTTTTCCCCTTCAACCCCCCTTTGAAAAATCCTTCAACCCCCCCTTTGAAAAATTCCTGGATCCGCGCCTGCACTATACGAATTTATTTTCAAAAAAAAATTCAAGATAATTGTTCATACATTTTTCTAAAGTGTTTGAACTGCATGGAATTAATTTAATACAATCTCTTTTGCAAACGTGCCCTGTATAACATACTCACAGATATTCATGACGCTGTGGAGGTGCACTTTGTGGCCATCTTTTAGCCCTGGGGACATAATCACCGTACATTGTCCGAAGGAGACCACTATAAGCTACAAGAACTTTCTGGCTGTGGGTGATTTTGGTAGCAGAACTCTTCCATCTTAGATATCAGTTGGCATTTTAGATCTGCATGCAGAATGGGAAGAAAGGTTTGGTGTAAATAGATAAATTTAATAAACGTTTTGCTTTAAATAAAAAATTTTCTTTTAAATAAACATCGTGCTTGAATACTGTTGTTAAACACATACATTTTCCCAAAAAGACATTACTTGTTATGTAGATATAAATCATTAGCCTACTAGCCTACAAGTAGTTTCTCTCTCTTTCTCTCTCTCTCTCTCTCTCTCTCTCTCTTTGAAGGGGGGGGTTAAGAACAGATCTTTACACTTTGTGTTTCTACCTGGAGTGGAGTCCATGTATTTTTTTGGGGGTGGGGGGGGGGGGTGGTTGAAGTTCTTATTTTAAAGGAATTGTGATATAAATGCATTTAAAACTATAAAACAAAATCAAAAATTATCGGGGATCTTGAAGGGGTCAATCTCCTCACCCACCACCATCACCACCACGATCGGGGCTTCCCTCCGTTAAAATCTAAGCATAGTATCAGACAAGAATTTCTTTTATTGTACATGTTTATCTAATGTATCCTGTGGTATAGGTCGGTAGAAACATCGATAAGCTGGGGCACATACTTTAAGTGGACGACCATTTGATTCGGGGGGGGGGGGGGGGGGGAGTCAGATAATTTATTATTTTGTCGGTGAAAGACGGATAATTTATTTCCGATAAGATTAATGACAAATTATTCATTCTCTTTTTCAAGTAAAAAAAAGTAAACATAAGTCAAGGGGGGGGGGGGTAATATAGCACTGGTAACTGGTAATGATCAAGAACATATTATGTATTCCAACAATTTCAAAGACAAATCATTTGTTTCCAACATTTTCGGGGACAGATTATAGTTATTTCCAAAATACTTTTTTGTAAGTCGGATTAAACGATCTACGTACATGTGCCCTTATTCAAAATTAGATAAGATCTCTAGATAGTACTATATTCATATAGTTGCCCTCCATAAAATAACGATAACGAAAGTAAATATTAAATATAAAGATACAGGCGATCCTCTGTAGATAACTATTAAAATGACATGGATTGTTTCCCCATTAATACTATTGATTTCGATTTCTGGAACTGACAGCTAGTTAACCAATTACATAATTATCAAAACAAACTCAGTTTATCAAGTTTTTCACTCAGCCTCTATTATTAATTGTTTTTAAATATATAGAAAATGTAAAAACAGCTTTTATCAATCATTTTGCGTGCTATCATACATGCTCTTTGTTGCTGCAGACGTATATTAAGATACACTTATTTATTCCTTACCTACAGGCTACATACTTCTACCTGCAATTTTCTGTTGGTTTTCCACAACTGTGCTTACTTTCGTTTTGCTTGAGTTCGCACAAGCTTATGCATGTCGCTACACTTATGGAGAGGGAGAAAAATATTTTGAAAACACATAAAATTTATATGCCGCTGACACATTTTTTAAAATTAGATTTCATAAATTTTCCTTACAAATTATGACATTTTTTAAATCTCATATCCGATTTTTTATTCTCGGAGAACTGAATGAAGTATATATTCCTCATAAAAATATATTTTTTCTTTAAACTGTACGCATGTATGGTGATCCTATACTCCCTATCGTATGAAACCGAAATCAAATCATTTAATTAACTTACACATAGAGGATGCACTATTAGTGACCAGCTATAATTTGGAAAAAATGTTTGGATAGTCAGTCGTCCTCATATGTTTTTATGATAATGAGCCATTTTGATTTACATGTTACAAAGAAGAATGGGTTGTCATTGTTTTATCACATCTTATCGTTAAAAGCAAAACTAGTCTAGAAAAATTAAGACACGAAATATGGTACATTTTATCTCAAAACGTATGGAATGCCATATACGACAGCCAACTGCTTACTGCCAACTGCTGACTGCTTACTGCCAACTGTCAGCTGCTTACTGCCAACTGCCACACATATTTGAATAAATTTTATTTTTATATCGCTATTTATGTAAATTAAAAAAAAAAGGCGCGGATCTATAGGAACATTTTTTCCAAGAGGGTCACTCTGGTAAAAAAAATCCAACCCAAAAATTTCTTGACAAGAAAAAAATACCTTTCCTAAATATGAAAATTTATTTCGGCCGGGGAGAGGGGTTTCTTATGCGTCATACCTTCACGTGTATGACATTTTTCTTACCAACTTAACACGAATCCACATTTTCGGTTGGGGAGGGGGGAGGGGGTTCCAAGGTCCCTTTTAGTTGATTTATTTAAATTATTTTATATATTAAATAACTTTTAGTTGGTTTAGTTTGTGCATTAAATAACTTTACAAATTTCAGAGGGGTGTTCCGGACCCCTCTCTCTAGATCTATGCATATAAAATATATTTTATTTGTACAAACAAAGAGATATAAATGTTTGATCGGCGTTTTCTAAGTGGAGGGTCCAAGGTCAGTTATACCGGTAGTTCGTCTAGTTTATTTAACGTCTGACTGTACAAATTTTAAATACCCCCCCCCCCCCGATATATGCAAAAAGTTAGCCACCTACCCCCCCCACCCCCCGAGTTTGGGCTATTTCCTTTTTTTTTTGCTTGTCAACTTTTTCAGGTAAGTAAAAAAAATTTTCTCTGGTTGGACCCCCACTTCCAAAAACGATGCTACGTGCCTGCATTATAACACACAGAGATATACATCTTTAATTTGAGGAAATTTTTAACTATAGAATATAATGGAAAACGGAAATTTATTTTCAAAACATCATTCTCTGCGAAACGACAAATCTTTTTATTATTATTCTCTCTTCAAAGGTTTTGTTGTCTCCGGGGGAGGGGGGGGGGGTGTTCTTTAAAGATTAAAAGCAGAAAATAGTCATTTTATTACCTATTTCAAATAGGAAAACAAATAAAAAAATAAACAATGTACTTTATCAACCGCATATATTGAATATTACATAAGATAAAACATATTGGTCATTTTATTCAATTCAATTTTACCAGGGTGACTCCCTTGGAAAAAAATGTCCTGGATCCGTGCCTTTTTTCCTTTTGTTTTGTGAAAATTCATATAAATATCAGTACAAATATAAAATTTATTCAAATATGTGTGGCAGTTGGCAGTAAGCAGCTGACAGTTGGCAGTAAGCAGTCAGCAGTTGGCTGTCGTATATGGCATTCAGTAGAACATGCTCTTTCATATCTAATCAATTGGGAGACGTAAACATGTGCAGATGATAGTCATTTTTGGGGGATCAGACATTATCATATTTTACGTAACTGATAAGCAAAGCTTGTGAATCTGATCTATGGAACGCCGGGACTGTCTTATATGAGGATTAAATATTATATGCAGTGCTTCCTTTATTATATGCGGTACTATTTTTATTATATGAAGTAGTTTTTACATTATATAGTGTACAACCTCCATTACATGCAGTACTTCTTTCATTATATGATGTAGATATGTCATTATGTTATGTACATCTATCATTATATGAAGTGCTTTTAACATTATATGCGGTATTTCTAACATTATATGCGGTATTTCTAACATTATATGCGGTATTTCTAACATTATATGCAGTAAACACAACAATATATTATGTACTTCTCACATTATATACAGTACATTCATCATTATGTGTAGTATTTCTGTTATTATGATGATGCTGATCATTAAATATTATGTCCGGACCAGTTAGCATTCCGTGCGGTAGATTTTGCATTTCGTTATGATGTAGACACAGTATTGTATGCGGTGCTTTCTT